TTTTTATTATGAAAAAAAACAAAAAAGTATTACTCCTCCGTTCTTATTTATATTCACCAAATCAATTCCTACTTTATTATTTATATTCACCAAATTTATATAAAATGCATATACACCAACAGAGACTTGGAGAATGAAACTCAAGTGCCCGATATCAAAATCAAAATCTTGAACATCCTCAACTATGAAACTACCCTAAAAATTTATTGATCTAACTATAGTTTAATTTTGTTGATCTAACTCGTGTTTTTGTGGGAAATTCGTTAACTTTTCGACATATTTGAATAAAAGGATGAAAGTTGTCAAGTTTTAAATACTTGAGAAATTTTTTTGTTAAGAAGGATAATTTAAGGATGTATTTAAGTTTGGGTATATTTTAAAGATGTTTTTGGCTATAAACTCATCCTATTTAATGGAAAAAGAAAATCTTATATGTTTTCAATTTGTTTGTTCTATTTTGACTTGACATCGTCCTCCAATTTCCTCTCATTTCAAAAGTTGTGAATACAAATAAATAAAATACATTGTCCTGATAAAATTTCTAAATGCCTTCTGGATATTCCTCAATATCTCAGTTATCCACGGAACGTGACAAGCATGTGATTAATCATCCAATTTTTAAAAAAAAAATCGAAGAATTTCTTGAAAAATCTAAATACAAAATATGTAAATTTTGATCGATAGTTTAAAGTGTATTATTTTTTATTAAATTGACATGAAAAACATTGTAATTTGTAAAATCTTGTATCAATACCTAAATTTTAATTTAGAAATATTGAGTTGATATAAATCAATTTAGCTTTAAATATTAATTGAATTGATTATTGAGAAGTAAAAAGTATCATATAAATTGAATCAAATAAGATGTTAATTAGTGACATATCATGCAACTTTGATGTGATGATAAGAGCACAACTCATGATTCCGTGGATTAGAGGCATGTCATAGGTATAGGTTTGATGCGTATAATGTGTGACTTGAATAAGTGCACACTAAGGAAATTAATTTTCAGTTATATTTAATATTATTTTCATGGTTATTAATTATCTTATCAGTAATTTTAGCTATAAAATAACTAGAAAGCTCATTTTATTTTATAATGTATAGTCAAGTTGTGAATTTAAGTATTCCCATTATTTTATTAGAAGAAAAATGGTGAAAAAGCCCAAAAATATGCAAAAGATAGCAATGGAAGTATTTGACCATCAAAGATGGTATTTTTGAAGTTAAATAGTTATAAGCAATAAAAATTGAAAAAACAAAAATTAGATATTAGAGTTTGGAGCAATCATTTTTACCCAAAAAATAAAATAAAATACATGATTCAATTAGTCAAATTTAATAAAGTGTAATTCTTAATATCGAAAAGAGCTAAATATACGTCTTTATTATCAGAAATAGTTTAGTTTAAATATATCTCTTATTATATTTTCTATTCAAATATTTTTCTATGTACAATAAAAGTGGCGTATAAATTATTTTTTTAAAAAAGACCAAAAATCAAAATGCATGCTCCATGGTACATGACAATGTGGATCCACGTCAACACATTGTCAAAAAATGCATATTTAATCCAGCAATAATAGAATAAGAGAGTATCCAATAAGAAAAAGAATCGTCCTTGAATAATAAAATAGTAGTTTAACTTATTAGAATAGTCGAATTATGTTGAGCAGGTGATTTCTTAAATGGAGTATCTCAATTTTGAAATTACTTACCTACTTAACAATAGGTTATAGCATAAAAATTATTTAATACGGATTATTTCTTTAATATGATTTGTTGGCTATCACATTGACTGTTAAAAAAATGTTAATTACATGGAATTTAATTTAAAGTAAGCTCTTATGAATTTGCATTGAAAGTTTTAACATTTCTAAAATTTAAAATATTTACATGTGGATAATATTTTCTCAAAAAAATATGATGCTAAATTTTGCTACTTAGAGTTAATATTATACTGGTAGCGTGAATTGTACCGTAAATGTAGCCCATCTCCGCTCTCACTCCTGCTTCAGATTGTTCTAGCCCTCTTTCAGTCTTTCTTGAGGTTCTTTTTTCTAAAATTTTGCATCCATTTACCCTTTCTCTCAAAAGAATAGTTTTTAGATGAACTTTCAAAAATAGCAAAAACTTGAAATATACTGAGGCAAAAATAGCTATAGTTTGCTTATTACAATTCGTAGCTACATGTTAGCAAGAGCGAGATTGGAAGAGGGAGGAGAGAGACGAGCGAGATTAGAACAGGGGGGAGAGAGGGAAGAGAGTGGAGAGAGACAAATTGTACTTGTATATTTGTTAGGTAATTGTATATATGTATATGTTTCAATGATTGTATTTGTTGTATATCTACCGGAAAATTGTGTGTGTATATATATATATATATATTATGTAATTAGTATGTATATGTATCAATGAATACAATAGTATTAACGAATACAATTTGTATCAATGAATAAATTGTATATAATTATATCAATGTTGTTTCAAGTTCAACATTTGTATTTGTATAGTTGATTGTTATCATTTGTATCAATCGTATTAACAAATACAATTTGTATCTGAATACAGTTGTGTTGTGTTCAACATTTGTATTTGTATAATTGATTGTCATCATTTGTATCAATATTGTATCAATGAATACATGTGTGTTTGTATTCGCATCACTAAAGAGATCTGTATAATTAACATTTATAATTTGTATTTGTATAATTGATTGTTATCATTTGTGTTTGTATAAACGAATATCAGCATTTGTGTTTGTATAAACGATTGTCAACATTTGTATTTGTATAATTGATTGTACAATTTGTATTTGTGTTAAGAGAGAGGAGGCAAAAAAAGGAGAGAGATAGAGAGTGGGTAGAGTGTCACAACCCAAAAATAGACGTGATGTCACTTGTCTATTCCCATCAAGACAAGTCATTCACAACCCAACGAAAACGAAAGATATGCGAAAATATAAATCAAGAACAAGACAAAGGCGGAAAACTTATTTGTTCCAAGCAATATCCCAAAATCTGGTTGTCATGTGTACAAGCCACTAAATACATAAAGTGCAGAATTAAGAAATAAGTACAAGTCTAAGTCTTTGTTTCTCAAATAGAACAAAGCGCTTAAAGAAAAGGAAAAGAGGGTCCGCCAAAATGACAAGTAACTACCTCTCAAGTCCTTCAATGAGGTTCAGAAAAGAGAAGAAGAGTGATCATGCTATACCGGGCTCGGTACCTACACAAGTGTAGAAACAAGGAGTCAGTACCAAAAATATGATACCCAGCAAGTAGCCTACTAAACAAGGTATCTAGCTAGAAATTGAATACCTTTTACACTCCAATCGAACCTACTCAAACTACAACCTATCAGCCCAACCTAGCAGTTCTACAATGCACTGCTCATAAGGCCTAATATCTGCAGTTCAATAGTCACAAATCATCAATCAAACGAATGAAGTAAGTCAATTTCAAAGTCAAGTAGTTTAGTCATACGCAACAAGTACATCAATCACAATTACCAAGTAAATCATGTACACGCATCAAAGGCATCAAGTCACAATAATCAATCTCTTGCCGGAACCATTTCCCATTGGCTTTATATCAAATCACTAGCCAGAACCATTTTCCATCGGCTTTATAAACACTTGCCGGAAATGACCTCGGTGTAATCACACTCACCGGCAAAGACCTCGGTATCATAATTCATCACATGTCTCTTCATGGTGTTCAAAAATCAAAGCACACAAGCAATATCACACCACACGGAAGAGACTACAAATCATGCATTTCAACTCCACATTCATAACTGATATCATGACTTGGTTCTTAATTGATTGTCGGATTAAACTTGAATTGTTAGTTGGTTCTCCCACTAAAGGGTTAGTGCGGGTGCCACTCACGACGAGTAAGGGTCGTGACATGTAACATATTGAATCCTCATATATCTTAAGGGTTCATCTAGACAAAATGCTTTTTTTTCCATCTTCTGATTATTATTATTTTGTTTATTACAACTGCGTTCCAGATTAGCTTGTGTATACTTTGATTAATTTTCACACAATATATGTCACCTTCCACCAGCAACAAGTACTAGATAACTTTGTTCACCAAGGCCAGAACAGATGAGAAAAAATCACCTAGAGTTTGGTCTCTCCTGAAAATTAAACGTGAGACATCATGGTGTCCAATCCATTTCATTGACCACAAGATCACATCCTTCAGTGTCCTCATCTATTATATCTAATTATTCTAGTGCAAAATTAATCTCAACACAACAACATGGTTACAAGAGGAAAATTAAAAGAGACAAATAAAGGGCGCAATCTGATACACCAAATATATCATGTTGAAAAAAAATTGGAGCCTTAACTAGTCATATAATCTTCAAAGTTTGTGTATAAATATACAAAGACCATATTCAAAAATTACAATTCCATGAACTGTCTAAAAAATTATATTAGCTGATTCGATTGATGGTGTTGTAATAGATAGAAGTACATTATGGCAGGATCAATCACCCAGGCAAATTAAACAACCCTCCTCCAAGATCACTTGGGCTCCTAGAAGAGCCTAGACTAGCATTGTCTAATAATGTCTCAATCTTACACAAGTTAAAGCTTTTACCGGTCATGTTTCCATTTAAACCCATCTCAATTTAATAGCAACATAATACCATGGTTGAAAACCATACTAAAAACAACAATAACATTTGTAATAACAATAGTAATAAAGGCGCAAATAAGTATAAGACTATAAGAGTATCTAGTAAACATTAAGAAAAAATTGACCATAAATTTAATAAGTAAATGAAACAACAAATTTTGAAAAAAAAGAAGAAGAAGAAACATAACGGATGGACATTTCAAATGAGGATATGAGAAAAGAGTATTGAGAATCATATAATGCAACTTAGTTATGCAAACTAATAAAAGACAGAGACAGTCCATCAAATAACATGGACATACAAAACAATAGTAATTGAAAGAGACATATATTAGTCTTAGATCCTTATAAATTATCGTTGTTGTGATTTGGATCTTGAACATTAGTGTTATTGAAAGATGGCTCATCAAGTAAAGTCATCAAATCACTCCAGTCCAAATTCATCAGATCATCGCTCCAGTCAAACATCTCAGACAATGCAGGACTCTGTTGAACGCTAACAAAGTAACTCTGTTGGTTATTTATTGGCACTGATGCATCCGTTATGGGGATATTCATTGAAGGGTTCATTTGTGGTAACACTGGTGTAGATAATATGAGTCCCTCTCCATTGACCTTTGTTTTGATTGCTTCGCTTACCTGTTTAAGGTTTTGGTTGATCACGTAACTCAGATCGTTGAGATCGTAAACGTGTATACCGTTAGGAATATCTTCTCCATTCAACATTTCATACATCTTGTTTGTGAAATCCCTGACTCTGTTTTCCTTTCTTACCTTCCCGAGTTGTTCCTCCATTTTCTGGATCCTTTGCTTGGTGAAATTTTCTTGTGTCACCATGTTTTTTGATTTCTCCAATTCTGACAACTCCCGGAACCTTGTAAAGGTGTTGGTAACAACATCATTATTTGGAAATATCATAGGTTCATTGTGGTAAGGACTATAGATAACGGCAGCTATTTCAACATTACAAAGGGTGCTAAGTTCACGGGCCTTTGTCAAGAACCCTTTCTGTCTTTTTCTATATGAGACTTTCCTCGCAGTGCTATTTTCAATAAAAGCTAACTTCACTTTCTTTCTAGGCATTGTTGTTATTGTTGTTGTTGTATGTTTCTTTTCCTAGGATCGATTTCAATTTATAGGGAGGGAATTTTGATTTTGAATAATTTGAATTAGAGGATTCTTAGTTGTCATTCTATTTTTGGCATAAAATTAAATGAGGACTATCATCTTAAAATAAATGTAGTTTATGGCTCAACTCTTATTATGATCAATTTTTTGAGTCAAACTTTTCTTATTAGGAAAATAATTTAGTTGGTTTAAATCTACAAAAAATGGTTATAGAGTAATAACTAATATTTTTCATTAGCCAAGTTAGTTTTTTTTTTTTTGTATATTTTTATTTATGAATGTACAAATTTAAAGATGGAAACAAGTAAACATATTAAGTAAGAATTTTGACACATCATGTCATACATAAATATTTCAATATACATATAATAATGAATTTAATGATTAATTTAATAAAATACAAATATGCATTGAATATTAAATGGTGATATGTGTATGATTATTGTTGTTGCAGCGCTTATAGAAACACATTATTATTTTATCTAATTTTGAAAGAAACAATATTTAACAGAAATTTTATAATGCTTTCAAATATATTAAAGACTTAAATTTGTTTTTATTAGTGTCTGATACTCACCAACCAGTCACTTAACTCACCTTAAAATTTCTTCTAAATTGGTCTTGAGGCAAATCAATTTAAAATAATTACAAAAAACACCAATCAAATTAATGTGTTTACAGTGGGAAAAGAAAAAGATTTTTTTTTCTTTTAAAGAAAAATACTCAAGAAGAAGAAGAATTACTTGTAGACTGTCTTACTATATTTTATCAAGTGAGAACAGACATTTTACTCTAATGAGATTTCTTCCATTATGGTATCTAAATTAAATTTTTATCATATTGGGATCTATATTTAAATTTATCCGATGTTTATTAGCTAATGTCTATCTTTGTGAGCCAAAGAGAAAGAAAGAACAACAAGTATATTGAGTTTATGTCATATATTATTATTATTTTTGCGTTAAGTTTAAATTTAAAAAAATCACAATTTAAATCTAATTAATGAAGTTTTCTTTCTCCGAAACAATTCTTAGCATTAGGCGATCAAGTTTTGCTACCAAGAAAAAAACAAGTCTTGGCTTTTAGGTTACATTAATCTCTTCATTCACACAACTTTTATAGAACTTTTATGACTATCATCCCGCCTTCCCCTAATCAACTTTATAAAAAAGTTTATTAGTATAAGCAAAAAAGAAAGAACAAACAATGACCATAACTACAATATAATTATCTCATACCATACTTTTTTAGAATTAAATTTAACAGCTAAAAAAGGTCACACTTTAAATCTAGTTGAATCTTTTGTCTCCCCCATTTCACCTTGTAACTACAAGAAAGTCTATATCATATTATAGTCTTCACTTATCGAGCTTAACGGTTAAAAGTTTTAAACCTCAAAGTTTGAGGATTTGAGGTGTAAATGGAAAATTAGAAAAGACACCTTTTGGATTGAAATCAAAAAGGCACTTTTTGGATTAAACCAAATAGGGAAAAAAGATAAATATACCTCCGAACTAAATACTAACGAATATATACACGTGTCATAATCTTATCCAGAGGCGTATCTAGAGGGGGTGCCGTGGGTTCACGTGAACCCATGTTCCCCTCTCTAGATTATATATAGTAGTGTTATATTTTAAAAAAAATATTTAAATATAGATGTGTGAACCCATATTTAAAGTATCATATAATAATGCGATGATGATTGGGTGCACTTCTCTAAGTGAGAGATAGAAATTTAAATCTTATATCTATCTTGTCTCTTTAAGTAACATTTTTCCAAGTGATTATCGATCAGTTACACTTTTATCGTTTCAACTAATTTTTCTTTTATTTTTTTCCTTTATTCTTTCAAAAATTTCAAGTGTGTTACATTGAGAATTCCTAAAAAATTTAGCATTGTAAATTTTTTATATAATTAAATCAAATGTGTATATTAAAATTTAAAACTAGTAGTATTATATATTTTGGACCTATAATTTTTAAACTTTAATGATTCATATTACGAACTAAAAGTCAAATCGATTAAATTTATATTAGAGATACATTTTTTCGTAATCGTGCACCCATCTAGCCGAAATCCTGGATACGCCTCTGATCTCCACCACAATGCAGCCAAGTGCCCAAATATCAACGGCTCTACCGTGAATCCCATACACTAAACATTCTGAGGCTGCGTATATCAGAGTTCCTCTATGGCTATAATAGCCACTATTCGGAGAATGTGATATCAATACTCTTTCAATTTGACAACAACCTTTTTTTAAAAAAAAAAAAAAAACTTATCAATAATTGAATATATTCTTAATAAAAACTTGACTCTTAACTTTCCTTGAATTGAATTATGGATTCAAGGTTCATGATCTCATGTTATGGATGATTTCATGTTTTTAAGACGTACCTTAGAGTGTAGAATTCAACTAGAAACATAGGTACGTTTCAAGGGAACTAGTACGGAAAGAAGTGGGAAGAAGTAGTGTTGACACCCAATTTTGACCGACCTTTAATAATATTGGAAATGTTATCCGATTAAGTACGCTTTTAAAATGTATTTTGGAATTCTAAATTTTAGTTGATTTTGTCTAAAATTGTACTTTAGTATGTGTGCTTTTTAAAATTATCATAAATCATTAAGATATTTTCAAAATTATTAGTAAAACTAAAAATATTTATTTTATTTAAATGTTTTAAAATCTAAGTGATTTTAGTTATATAAAAATATTATAATGTTTGTAGTATTAAATTGGATAGCATTCCTTTTAAGTTTCCTCAAAATCATTTAAATGTTAACCTATTTTATTCTAATTCCTTTTGATTCTAGCCTATTCCAATTTCAATCGTATTGCAATTATAGCCACCCTTTCATGTCAATTCTAGCCATTCCTATTTCAATTTTAGCCTTTCTTATTCCAAATTCAAATTCCAAGTGATTTAATCTCATCCGTCCATCTTTTAAGTTAGGTCCAAGATCGAATCCTAGCCCTTCATCTCTAATTAAATCAATGGTCCAGATTAAACCTCCAAAACCTTCCTATTCTAAAGAAAAGACTCTGAACCCTAACATTTTACTCTATTCTCTCCTCTCCACTCTAGCAGCCGCCTCTCAACTCTCCTCTCCATCTTTCCGGCGAAAATTGCCACCACTTGCTGGTGGCAGCTGTTTCTCTCTCCCTCTCCTTCCTCTCTCCTCTATTTTTCGACAAGGTAGGGAGCATCAGCGAAACCAGCAGCTCCGGCAGCAGCCAGGCGACCGCCTTCTCTCCCTCTTGGCTCAAGGTAGGGAGCATCGGCGAAACCAGCAGCTCCGGCAACAGCCAGGCGACCGCCTTCTCTCCCTCTTGGCCGTCAAGCAGCAGCAACCAGCAGCTCTGGCGAACAGCAACCAGCAGCAGCCAGCCACTCCAGCAGCTCCGGCCAGCAGCATCGAGATCTGGCGGACCCTTTTATTTTAGAAATCTCGAGGTCATTAAAGACGGATCTTAACAGATCCGTGAAGGTATATTTTATTATTTATTTTTTTTTCTCTTTGTGTGACTGATTTCAATGCATGCTTCAACATCGTATGTGAAATTATCTCATGTTAAACATATGCCATTATTTGTGATTCTTTGAAATTGTTTCTTAAAACCTTATAATATCCCCTTATGTTATATGATTTAGTCCCTTGGAATGGATTATAGCATGCCTCGAATTGTTATACTGCTGAAGTTATTCATGTCAATATGATATGTGATCAAATTTGTATCAAAACTTTGCTTAAGATTAGAAGTTTGTGCTTGCTTATTTCCCTCGTTTAGTGATCTGATTGAGTGGACCTTGGTAAAAATAAAAATAAACTAATCTAATTGCTTCTAATCTAGTGAATATGCTTAAATTTTGGCGCAAGTTTCATATTTTATGCTAATTGACTCTAGGTTGATTTTACTGGCTCGATTAAAATTTGTTAGATGTCTACAAATTAATTGCTGGAAATAAGTGGGTGAAATCATATGTCTTGACATTGGATTTACGCATAAATATTGCTTTCCTTTAATATGTCTATCTCTCCCCTTTGCCCTCTATATTTTGACTGTTTCTCTGTCTTAATTAAGTTGGGAACAGATCCTTACTCGTGACATTATGGTAAGTATACATAATTTAGTCCTTAATATATCTCTCCTTATATTGTTTTACATTACATCAATTGGTTATCCTGAATGGCTTATTTGCTTGTCTTAAATAAATTGAAGCATTTGCTCACTTGTTTTATTTTTGTAAAAAAAATTGTGTTCGATTAAGGTAAAAGAATCGTACTAATTTTATTTTTTTACTCTCTATTTGTTAAGGAAAATAGATATTTGATTGACCTAAAATCAATTCCTTTCTTTAATTTGGCTCCTTAGTTGACCTCCTCTTAAAATTTGGATATATGTTAACATGTTTCTTGTTATAGTAAGTTGCTCAATTTGGTTCGGGAATATTACTGACTGATTTTGGCTCATTTGTTGAATTTAATTGGTTTCCCTTAATTGATTTCCCTTTCCTTAAAATAATTATTTCCTTGTAGCTAATTGTGCATAATCTGCCAGCAACTAATTGTCCTTAATGATAGTAATCAGCTTCTTACTTGTTTATATTTGGTAAAAAAAATAATAATTGGAATAAATCTGATTTGGCTCTATTTTGAAATAAGGAAAATAATAGTAATTGACTCCTTAATTTATTTCTTTCCCTTATTTATGCCCTCCCCTTCACTATAAATAATCAGACCCTTCACACACACACACAGACATCCAGACATTCATACATTTTACTCACGTCCTAACTTGCTCACATATTCTAATTCTAAGCAAAATAATATTGCTCTCTATACTATGAAAAAGAATTAAGATCTTCCGGTTAATTAAAGTTCATCTCTGTGTTGCTGTTTTGCTGTGTTCGGGTCATTCTCTGGGTTAAGTTTGTCTCCATTGCTG